CCTACATAAAGCATTCAAATTTCTCAAATTTCTCAAAATTCTACCCAAAGCATTCAAATTTCTCAAAATTCAGCTCAATAGCTAAAACAAATTTATCACAATAAAAAAAAATTAAGAAAAACAAGAGAGCAACTTTAGAATTACCTGTTTAGAATCACCTTCAAGATTAAGATTAGCTGAGTAGCGATCCTCCAAAGCCTCTCTCCTCCCTCTCTTGCAACACACGTAGTAGTGCCCTTCTCTATCTGACTCCACCACCTCTCTCCTCCCCGCCGTCGACGGCGTCGGCGGAGCAGTCCCATATCCCGAGGACACCACTGGAATACAAAGCTTCGCCGGCCTCTTCCTCTTCAGCTGCGTCACCGGAGACCCCGGACCCGAGCACGACAACCCGCTCGGCGGCTTTGGGATCCGAATCCGAAACGGCGAAGACGGTGAAGATGGAGACGAACACGAAGCCAATCCCGCCGGTGATGACACCGACGGTGGCGGAGCTAAAGTCAGGGTTTCTGGGGCCGAAGTGATCATGGAGGATTTGTTGCAGAACAGAGACGACGGCGGGGAAAACACCGGCGAACTGGCCACTGCGACAGAGCACGACATATCGTTTCTCCCTTTCGGCTTTGTTTTTCCAGTTCAAAAATTGTGCCGTTTGTTCTTCTTTTTCTTCTTCTTCCTTTAACGATTTTTCTGCGTTTTGTTTGGATGAAGAGAAAAATGGAGAGAATTCTGGAATATATAGGTGGCGCCTCCGAGTGGGGGCTTAGTCATTTTCCGTGTTTGTGGGGCCCTCCATGGCTATTTTTAAACATTGTTTTGACCAGTGATTTGGGGCACTATTTTTGAATGTCGGTTTTACCCTTCATCGGATTTTCTTTGACTTTTAGTCATTACTTGAGATTGGACGTCGACGAACTCCAAGTAATTTCCTTCTAAAATTTAGTGAGAAGTTCGGATTTGTTATTAATTACGTTCAAGGTTTGTTAACATATTATTTTAATTTAATTTATTTTTATTAGTATTAGAATTTACATTTATTAAACAAATGAATACAACCAACTAGTTATTATGTACATTTTTTTTCATTATTATTTTACAGTAACGATGGATACTTAATTAAAGTTTATAGTTTGTTAGCTCCACTCTATGAGTTATACCACTAATTTTCTATCTCGTTCTTTTGGTGACAATAGTTCATTTTTAATGTTAAAACAATTCATTTCATTTTATCTTAACAAGACTATGAGCTCTTTTGAAAGTACTATTAAAATGACTGAAAGAGTTTTAAAAAAGATGGTTTTTAGTTTCAAATGCACTTGAAATGCTTTTTGCAAGAAACATCCATTATATGCTTCTTCCAAATTTATTTGCACTTTACTAAGAATTGGTTCCAAAAGTGTTTTCAATTATTTTGAAAGTACTTCCAAACGAACTCTATACGTTTTGAAAATCAAATTAAATTAATATTATCTAAGTAAATTATGGTTCTAGATTTTTGGATATAACAATCTCCAAACCTAACCAATTTGAATATATATTCAAAACAATTTGTTTATAGAAATTGTTATAGTTGGCTATGTTTGTCGAATTTTACAAGCATTTTACCGTTCAGTGGAGTTTAAACCTGCAGGGGCAAAACCGTCCGATCAGAACCGGGTGCCCCGCCCCAAATCGGATGAGGACCGGCGTGCGAGTGTGAAAAAGATAAAAAAAGGAAATATTTAAGTGGTCATACACGTTATTTAATTTCAATACGGTGTTTGACTTCTTACTAACTAAGCTAAGCTAATGCTGTCACTGTGGGCCCCCACGCTCTCCCTCTCTCCCCTTATTGCTGGTTTTATGAGCTTCTGCGAAGTTACCGTTGTGAACGCATTCTCTTAAATACAATGCTGTCGTCGTTATTTCAATTATTTTTGTGAGGATTTTAAGAATTCTTAGATTGTGTACATTTATTGTATATCGTGCGATCAGTTTTTATCAGATACTATTCATATTTAATTTTAAATAAAAATATTTAAAATAATTTTTTAACGCACGATATATGATGAATGGACACGATTTAAAAATTTCTAGAATCCCTCCAAAAAGAATAAGGAGAAGATCCTCAGTGGGGAGGAGCTGATAGGGATGTGAATGAGACACGACCGTTGGGAAACTGGGCGCGATTACAAACGGCCAACATGTAAAACTTCGAAATTCCGATTCTGCCCTTGTTTCAGGTGTGATTTTATTCAGAAACGATGCCACCGCGTTGTTTGAAAATCTTAATTTGTTGCATAACCCAATTGAATTGTTCCACGTAACCCAATTGAATTGCTCCACGTAACCCAATTGAATTGCTCCACGTAACCCCAATGGAATTGCTCCACGTAACCCAATTGAATTGCTCCACGTAACCCCAATGGAATTGCTACACGTATTGTTCTAAATACGCTCTTTCTTGCTGGACTAAACACTCAATTACAACTCGTCGACAATTTTCTCTTTCAAACTAAGCACACCGTTCACATTCTTCATTATAGAAGATAGATCTTTGAAATTTTTCATGTTACTTCACATTCCCGGCATGGTCTTGATTTTTTTTTTCTTTTTCTTATCTACACTAAAATTTTGCACGGTAGGACGGAAAAAGTTTATGAAATATCAATATATTGAATTTATATAGGAATCACACTCTTGTATGTGGCTAAAAATTTTGGTTGAACTCATAAGTTCAATATATTCAACTCATGAGTATAATACTAATATATTGAACTTAAATTAGTGTAGCAGTTGTCGATGCAAATTTTCACCGTCTCTAGTTTTGACGAAAATGCACCTGTAAAACAATCAACACCTTTGATCAAGGACCTAAGCCTCAAGCGCCCACGAGGTAGGGGTTAAGCCAATGGATCTTTGATGCCTAAGTTAGTTTCTCTGAGAAGAGTAAAGTGTTTAGGGCTTTTTGGGGTAGCAAAACCTTACCGAAATTTGGTAGAATATGATGTATATATAGGGGAGTGGCCAGCCATGGAGTTAGGGTTTTACCCTACACATTGCGGCATCCTATTGGGCAAGGTTTTATGGAGAAATATTCTCAAAATATTAAATAGGAAATAATATCTTAAGATAATGGAGTAATTATCTTTAATTGATTCAAATATGGATTATTTATTTGAATGGAGTTAATATTTATTTGGAAATGAATTAAATATATGATTTGGGTAATTAATCCTTATCTTTAATGTTTTGACTTTTTCTTGCCAAGAACGGGTGAGCTGTGGGTAGTCGTATTCATCTGCAGGGACCTTCAGGGGTGTGAGCGTGTGAGCTGCACATGGGAGTATCTGAGAAGCATGCCCATTGAATGAGGGCACTCTTGTCTTTCTTGGGCAAAAGTCTACATGTCGTCTCCAGAATATTTGGGATTATTTTAGACTCCACAAATGGCCCACACTTGCTGGGTTGCTCATAGGAAAAAAGGCAGTAGGTGTAGAAATCCTAAGCTGCATGGGCTTGTAGAGTTGTTTCCCAATTTGAACTAGAACTCTTTTCTTGATTTGCAAATAGATTTCTTCTAAGAAAAAGAAACCAATTGCTCCAATACCTATTTAATTCTACCTTAAGCAGGGATTAAATAAAATTGGAAAACAATCATAACTCCACACAAGGAAGAGAGAAGCCAGAGGAAATTTGTTTCCCCTCCCCTAGCTTTCTTCTTCTCTTGTCTTTGCAAAAAATCGTCTCTCATTGTTGTCCTTCTTCTCGGTTCCACACCAAGGTAAGAAAAAATTTAAAATTTTCATTCCTTTTTCATTCTTTTAGGAATCTTGGAACTTGAAAAATTGTCTTATGTATAATGTTGTCGTCGACGTGGGGAGGAGCTGACCGGGACGTGAGTGGGACACAACCGTTGGGAAACTGGGCGTGATTACTAACGGTCAACAGGTAAAACCTTGAAATTCCGGTTTTGCACTTGTTTCGGGTGTGATTTTTATTCGCCACGGGGCCACCGCGTAGTTTGAAAATCTTGATTTGTGGCATAACCCAATCAAATTGCTACACGTATTGTTCTAAATACACCCTTTCTCGCTGGACTAAAACACTCAAGTACAACTCGTTGACAATTTTCTCTTTCAAACTAAGCAAACCGTTCACATTCTTCATTATAGATGGAAGTTAGATCTTTGAAATTTTTCATGTTACTTCACATTCCCGGCATGTTCTTGATTTTTTATTAATTATTATCTACACTTAAATTTATGAATACAAAATTGCGGCATTAGATAGCTAGGAGAACATTCTTAGTTGTTCTTGATTTTTTTTTTTTTTTTAACGGGAACAACTGGTGGCAAATCACGGTTATCCACTCCTTTCAAGGGCTCGGAAGACTCATAGAGGCATTTCAGCCCCCTGGCCACAAGTCTAGCTTTCAAACCAACAGTGAATTTCGAACCCGAGACATCCAATTTTTAGTTTTAAGGAAGCCTTGCACTCTGCCTTTTATCACTAGACCATAGCTCGTGGTTACTTTTCATTGTGTGTTTAATAAGGACAAAAGGTGATTTTGGTTACAAAAGTTGACAAAAAATTGCACACGATTATTTGTTCAAGAGCATTTCGATAACCTACTTATGTCTAGTTGTAGGGATTTATGCTGAAAAACGAAAAAATAAGACGGTTTGGAATGTTTTGATAAAAACACAAACTGAAATTCCAACGGTGTCCTAAAATATGAAACTTTAATTGTTAGATCTTTATTTAAAAATACTAAAAAGTCAAGATCTAACAATTAAAAAACTTAGAATATTTTATTCTCCGAATCACCTTACGATTTTTGGAAAGGCTTTGACAACTTTCTTTATCATTAAGGACGCCTTCTTGCATTTAAAGGCGTCCCAAAATGAAAAAATATAACACAAAGTAGTTGAAAAGTTTCTGCCAGTTTCAACCTTGAACGTGCAATAACACAAACATTAAGCTAGCTCTCGGCCAAACTGATATGGAGAACAAAGAGATGGGGAAAACAAATAAATAACAAAGCTTTCGAGGAGTGGAAAGCAAAACAAATCACATCATCTACCGGTAAATCAACTGTAAAACTATCTGCTATATTAACAGAAATTCAAGTCTAAAACACAAGAAAATGGTGTAGGACATGCACAATTACTCTCACAAAATCAACACTTCACAAGTCAAATCTAAATACGGAGTGTAACACACACACGGTGGTGCAGCTGCATTCAAATCATCGCTCAGTCATCAATCCGAACACCCCAGGTCGACGCTATCTCCAGACCTCACCATAGACGCCTGACACTACATCAGAATGACAAGTTAAAAGCTAGTTTACAATCTTCCAGTTCAATTGAAATCAGTCCGTAAACATCTGATAAGCTGAAAGAAGATTAACTTGTATGGAGATGTCCATTAGGGAACTTCTAAAGATAGACAACAATTGGTCAATGAAACTTTGTTTTCATATTTTTGGAAGTCTAAACTCCGTCCTAAAGGTTTAGAGTATAATCTTGGACCTTCAATCGATGCCTCAGACAAATACTTGGGTATTTTCTACTAACTAAAAAGACAGCCCTGCAAAATTAGTCTGTCGTTTAGGAATTTCATAAGCGACTTCACCTTCCATAGTTTTGTGTGTATGTTTCTGTTGACTCTAAAAATTACAAAACCTACGTGGCGCGCAGGCCGAGTAACTAATAAGCTAACTACGTCCTTTGGTTGAATGCGGGGCGTGCCAACTCGTCGGCCGAGCTCGGCCGAGGAGTAAAATTTGTTGATGTCGCGTTGAGCGCGCTGTTGACTTCTGTATCTTGCGATTGCGATCGAGGAAGGAACGCTCTCGGTCTCTGGGTTCTATAGCCTGAAGACAAGGCTACTAATTCTACGGAGTTCACAAATCGTCGGAGCTTGATTCGGTCACTGTGATTATATTCGTAAGAGTATAAGCATGCCGAATCGAGACCAAACTATATGGGCACAGGTACTCAAATGTGATATATGTCTTGATGGTAAACGTAGTTCGGCCGTCAGAATGCCGAACCCTGAAACTTACTTGCGAGTATCCAATCATAAAATCACTTGGCGTCCAATGCGCCGAGCAATGCAATTCGTAACACCCAACTATGCCGAAAAGGCTAGTAAGATGACCTCTACCAACAAGGGTTTGAAAAACCCTTCTCGGCTGAGACTTAGATAGGTAATCGGTCGGCTTCGAGGCAGTGCTGTTTATCCAAACTGAAGGTGCTTCTCGGTCGGCTGATTCTGCGGCGGCAGTGCTGTTTATCCAAACTGAAGATGCTCGCCGGGTGCCTCCACAGTGCTGTTTATCCAAACTGAAGGTATGTCGGCAGAAAAGAAAAGGAAAAATCTCAAGGTGTTTGAGAGGTTTTGCGCAGGGCAATTGTATGCTGGATCGAAGGGCCTTTTCTATTGCATGATTTCTTGTATTTATAGCACCTCATTCCTTGAGACCAATTCGCATTCTGATTCGGATTGGGAGTCCTTGTCCCATTTCAACTCTAACTCGAACAAACCTACTCCTACTGGGATTCTGAATTTTCCTTCCTTTCGAGGCTTTATTCTTAGCCGGTCGGGAATCCTGGTCGCACCAGGACTTCCTTGACCTTTTCTGTTTATCCGGACTACTTAGGATAGGATTTGGCCAACCCTACCAACTGGCCCGGGATTTATTATTCGGCCCATAGTATTTGTCATCACCTTGGGCCGAGCACATCCTGCTGCTCAGCCCAACAATAATATTTTGGGCCCAAACAGTTTCTTAATTGCCAGAAAAGCGCATGTGAATAAGTCTAAAAATACTCGAGTAAACCTCAGAACTGTTTTAGCATAACATTGCGACAATTCCTGGACAGTAATGGAAAGTGATAGAAACCCATCAAAATGTTCGGATGTTTTGTTTATGGTGCTCCAAATTCGTAGCAAAAGAAAACTTCAAGCATCTCATCATGTGTAAAATTCATAGTGAAAATTCACAAAGAAGTCCAATAATCTATTCAAAGTAAAACACAACTAGAACAACTAATTCAAGAATTTTTGAAGCTGCCGATTATTCCCTAGGGTAGAGTTCTTCTATCAAAAATAGACACGTAAACTCGAGAAGTTCAATGTCATAAAGGAGGTTGAACCAAGAGCCATAAACCGATTCACTTTCAGATGGCATTCGAATCCCACATGTATCTATTGGATCGTGATACCATCACGTCCAATGATATCATAGCAAAGTACACAGGCGGAAGTCTAATACAACATAATGATAAGATGCTACTACCTAATGATATCTGACACAAGACAAAGGTTAGAATGTTACCTCTTCCCAAACTCCATTAAATATCGTGACCCATTGTAACACAGGAACCACAGCAACACAATGATCAAAGTATCTGTCAAGATTAAGGAACTGACAAATGCAATATAACGGCAGAAAGGAAGGTAGAGAACTCCAAATTAAATTTGAGAAAAGAATGGTGGGATATGTGGTAAAAATATTGAATCTTCATACTATTACTTCCACAACAAGCATTTTGCAGCTATTATCAAGATTCATAGCAATGCACCAGACGCTGATGACCAAAAACACAAATTTCTACCGTACTTATATATGACAGTATGGTATAAACAATCAAACAATCTAAAAGTTTGAGTCGGTTCTTAGCATATGGTGATCTAAGAAACTGCCAACGAAGAGGCACTTTTCCAAACCATAACGGCAAGAAGAATTTCGTATAAGCTAGAAAAATGCGAAGGGCGCATTTGATTACCGTCTCGTATGAAAAGAGTAGTAGGTGTACATGGGCTTGTAGAGTTGTTTTCTAATTTGAATTAGATCTTATTTCTTGATTTGGAGATAGACTTCTTCTAGGAAAAAGAAATCAATTGCCTCAATACCTATTTAATTTTGCCTTAAGCAAGGATTAAATAAAATTGGAGAACATCATAACTCTAACAAGGAAGAGAGAAGCCAGAGGAAATTTGTTCCCCCTTCCCTAGCTTTCTTCTTCTTTTGCCTTTGCAAAAAGTCGTCTCTCGTTCTTCTTCTTCTCCGTTCCACACCAAGGTAAGAAAAAATTTAAAATTTTCATTCTTTTTTATTCTTTTGGGAATCTTCGGACTTGAAAAATTGTACGTATAATGTTGTCGTCGACGTGGGGAGGAGCTGACTGGGATGTGATTGAGACACGACCGTTGGGAAACTGGGCGTGATTACTAACGGTCAACATGTAAAGTAAAACCTTGAAGTTCCGGTTTTGCATTTTATTCGCCACGGGGCCACCGCGTAGTTTGAAAATCTTGATTTGTAGCATAACCCAATCAAATTGCTACACGTATTGTTCTAGATACACTCTTTCTCGCTGGACTAAGACACTCAGTTACAACTCGTTGACAATTTTCTTTCAAACTAATTCAAACTAAGCAAACCGTTCACATTCTTCATTATAGATGGAAGATAGATCTTTGAAATATTTCATGTTACTTCACATTCCCGGCATGTTCTTGATTTTTTTTTTGTTTTTTTTTACTATCTACACTAAAATTTATGAATACGAAATTGCGGCATAACACGCACCCAATTCGAATGTTAAGTGCATGTTGAATACGAAATTCAAAGCCTTTTTTGCATTAAAAAGACGAAGAAGAAGAAAAAGATTGAAAATTTATGAACGGGTTGTTGGAAATATGGGTGCTCCAGCGTTCTGAATCTCCCCAAATTCGCAGTTTTGAGGGAACGAGTCCATTTGGGAATTGAATTGATCCAGAACGACCAGATAGTGAAGCACAATTTCAATCAAAATTATGAAAAAAATACAGAAAATGTTAAGAGCCAAGGAAGGAAGGTTTGAAATTTGGGAATAGAGGAAGCGGGTGCTCTGTTGCCTGAATATATAGGGTGCCATGGGAGAAGAGCTCGGGGGGAGTTTATGGATCAACGGTTCAGATTCTTTTCATCCCTTTTACCTTGCCCTAGTTTACTCGTGCTAGGCCAAGGTTGGCAAGTATGTGATTTCATATTTCCCCACAAAACTTTGGGTTCCTCTTACTTTGGTCTTTCAGCATTTTGCCTAGTCTCAGGACCGGGAAGACTCATAGAGGCATTGCAACCCCCTTGGCCACAAGTTTGGCTTCCAAACCAACAATGATTTTCGAACCGAGACCTCCAATTTCTAGTTTTGAAGAAGCCTCGTATTCTGCCCTTTATCACTGGGCCACCAACTTATGGTTGTGTGTTTAATAAGGACAAAAAGTGATTTTGGTTACAAAAGTTGACAAAAAATTGCACACGATTATTTGTTCAAGAGCATTTCGATAACCTGCTTATGTCTAGTTGTAGGGATTTATGCTGAAAAACGAAAAAATAAGACGGTTTGGAATGTTTTGATAAAAACACAAACTGAAATTCCAACGGTGTCCCAAAATATTAAACTTTAATTGTTAGATCTTTATTTAAAAATACTAAAAAGTCAAGATCTAACAATTAAAAAGCTTAGAGTATCTTATTCTCCGAATCACCTTACAATTTTTGGAAAGGCTTTGACAACTTTCTTTATCATTAAGGACGCCTTCTTGCATTTAAAGGTGTCCCAAAATGAAAAAATACAACACACAGTGGTTGAAAAGTTTCTGCCAGTTTCAACCTTGAACGTGCAATAACACAAACATTAAGCTAGCTCTCGGCCAAACTGATATGGAGAACAAAGAGATGGGGAAAACAAATAAATAACAAAGCTTTCGAGGAGTGGAAAGCAAAACAAATCACATCATCTACCGGTAAATCAACTGTAAAACTATCTGCTATATTAACAGAAATTCAAGTCTAAAACACAAGAAAATGGTGTAGGACATGCACAATGACTCACAAAATCAACACTTCACAAGTCAAATCTAAATACGGAGTGCAACACACACACGGTGGTGCAGCTGCATTCAAATCATCGCTCAGTCATCAATCTGAACACCCCAGGTCGACGCTATCTCCAGACCTCACCATAGACGCCTGACACTATATCAGAATGACAAGTTAAAAGCTAGTTTACAATCCTTCAGTTCAACTGAAATCAGTCCGTAAAACATCTGATAAGCTGAAAGAAGATTAACTTGTATGGAGATGTCCATTAGGGAACTTCTAAAACTAGACAAACAATTGGTTAATGAAAATTTGTTTTCGTATTTTTGGAAGTCTAAACTCCGTCCTAAAGGTTTAGAGTATAATCTTGGACCTTCAGTCGATGCCTCAGACAAATACTTGGGTATTTTCTACTAACTAAAAAGACAACCCTGCAAAATTAGTCTGTCGTTGAGGAATTTCATAAGCGACTTCACCTTCCATAGTTTTGTGTGTATGTTTCTTAATTGCCAGAAAAGCGCATGTGAATAAGTCTAAAAATACTCGAGTAAACCTCCGAACTGTTTTAGCATAACATTGCGACAATTCCTGGACAGTAATGGAGAGTGATAGAAACCCTTCAAAATGTTCGGATGTTTTGTTTATGGTGCTCTGAATTTGTAGCAAAAGAAACCTTCAAGCATCTCATCATGTGTAAAATTCATAGTGAAAATTCACAAAGAAGTCTAAAATCTATTCAAAGTAAAACACAACTAGAACAACTAATTCAAGAATTTTTGAAGCTGCCGATTATTCCCTAGGGTAGAGTTCTTCTATCCAAAATAGACACGTAAACTCGAGAAGTTCAATGTCACAAAGGAGGTTGAACCAAGAACTGTTTGAGATGGCATTCAAATCCCACATGTATCTATTGGATCATGATACCATCACATCCAATGACATCATAGCAAGGTACACAGTCCAAAGTCTAATAGAAAATAATGATAAGATGCTACCACCTAATGATATCCGACAAGAGACAAATGTTAAAATATTACCTCTTCCCAAACTCCATTAAATATCGTGACCCATTGTAACACAGGAACCACAGCAACACAACGACCAAAGTATCTGTCAAGATTAAGGAACTGACAAAAGCAATATAACAGCAGAAATGAAGGCAGAGAAATCCAAATTAAATTTGAAAAAGAATGGTGGGATATATGGTAAAAAATATTGAATCCTCGTAGGATTGCTTCCTCAACAAGCATTTTGCTGCTATTATCAAGATTCATAACACTGCACCAGACGCTGATGACCATAAACACAAATTTGTATGGTACCTATATATGACAGTATGAAAGAAACAATCAAACAATCTAAAAGTTTGAGTCGATTCTTAACATACGGTGATCTAAGAAACTGCCAACGAAGAGGCACTTTCCCAGACCATAACAGCAAGAAGAATTTCATATAAGCTAGAAAAATGCTAAGGGCCCATTTGATTACCGTTTCATTTTAGTTTTCACTTTTGGTGCTTGAGATATGAGGGAAAAAAGGGATGAAGAAGCAGGATGAGAGAGAGGTGAAGATATAAAGAAGAATACAATGAAAACCAAATCTAGAAAGTACACCCAACTTGAAATGGTTTTTTGTTTTCCGTTTTCATTTTGTGTCTTCCCGTGTACAACATCTCTCCCACCATCTTCCCTACACTCTTCTATATCCCTCATTTCTCCCACGTATTTCCCTCTATATCTAACACAAAAACGAAAACTAGAAACTGAAAACAAAATAGTCACCAAACGTTCCAAATTGTATACTCTAAATGTACCCGATCGAGGAAATAAGTTCACTCATGAAAGTATGCAAACTCATGTGCTCTCTAAACTAAAACGAGACAAATATCCGACATAAGGAAGCAAAGATAAGGTAAAACACAGGATACTGAAGAGATAACGCTCCCACCAATCCAACATATAGAGCCCAAATGTCACATTGTAAAGATAGATCTTTCGTTGAACCCAATTCATAACTCCAGAATCTACAAACAATAAGCACAAGATTAGTGCCAGATTAAGATATCCCAGACAAAAAACAAGTCAACAAAACCACATCCAAAGATTTAAAAAAAAAAAAAAAGAGTAAATAAGCACAAGAAAAAAAATATCAATTCACAGAAATTCCAGCACTAAATAATCTAGTAGGAGGGATTGGACTGTAAAGCTTAGAGCTTGGCTGTTATCTTGCCCATCTATATACATACATACATACATATACATGTGTGTGTGTATATGTGTGTGTGTGTGTGTGTGTTTATATTTGATTGGATTCCTACAGAACTTTATTGAGAAACCCACAAATGGGTATGTAAGAAAATTGGGATTCTGCACAAGATTTATTCTAAGCTAAAGAAAGGACCCTAAAAAAAATCAGTGTGAAGGGATTGGCAGATTCAGTTCAGTGCAAGTTTCAAATTTGTATTTTCAACATTTGTTCTTTAAAAGAACACTAACTAAACGTATCAAATCCTACAAATTTTCTATCTTATTCCAAAATTTTCTCACCAACCAAACAAAGGAATGACTTACCGTTTTCAGAGAACGAAAGAATGTTCGGAGGAGCACGCCGGAGACGATGAGAGAGAGAGAGAGAGAGAGAGAGAAAGAGAGAGAGAGAGATTTTTTAGACGGCAACAAGTAAGACCGAGTTGGTTTGACTCTGACCAAAACAAAAGAAAAACTTTTCGGCTCAATTTAAAGCCCACATCGTCCTTAGACAATGAGGCTTTTGAGGCCCATTATTATTTAATTCATACTTGGGTTGTATTTGTCAAATAGGGTAAAGCCTTCTAGATTTTCCCTTGGGCTTGGGCCTTTTAGCCCGTTTAGAGTAGTTTATCGACAATCTCACGTATTACGTGCCAAATAGATTGATGAGTAATTGAATTAAGGTCCCACTTGGTTTTCTGTGGGAAAGATTTTTCACCGAGCCCCAAATTATTGGTGTATAATGTCTTTTTATTTTTTTGAAGTGATTGGTGTATAATGTCTAGTTTGCTATTTCGATGCTTGTTTGGAAGAATTTATACTTTGACAAATGTTAAGGAAACTCTCTTAAAGTGTGATTCTCCATGAACATTCTGTCACCTCACAGTTTAACTTCAATTCTCGTGCTAACATTATAAAACATTATGCAAAAAAATATGAGGTGGTAGAGAGTCTAGCGAATCTCATTTTTAAGAGTCTCTCTATAATTTTGTTTTATGCCTCTTGTTTTGGTAGAGTATTAATTTAAGATGTGGCTTTAGTTCTTGATATTCGAGTTGAGTTTTGGATGGTTTGCCTGTCCTTTGTACGCGTAGTTTCCAACAACAGAAAAAATGAATTATGTATTAGAGCACTTTCACCAAGCCATTTTTGTTAGAGAAATGCTAGTAACATTTGCACTAACCTTCGCAATTGGACATTCTCAATTTAAAAGATGTCATGCGTCATTTGTTCACACAAAAACCAAGACGTTTGATGCTTTTGGAATTGTATTTTATATTTTCCATCTTTGATTTCTAGCCAAAAACGTTAAGAGTCTTAATTTTTGTGTAAGTGGTGATAAAGTCCAAATACAAATGGTTGTGCGTTGCTAGCACTCCCCTTCGGCAGCCAAAATGAACTAGAAACAAAATCTACCCCAAAACCCATTCCCAACCGCCCAATCTTGCCAAGGTAAGAGATGGATCCCACTAAACCATTTTCAATGTCTTGTGGCCTGAAATTCCCTCAAACATATCCTCGATTTCTTTCTCCCTCGTTGTAAAGGGTCTCTCTAAGTCTCTTCTCTTATTTCCCTAGGGCCTTTTCTTCCACACATCAACGGCACATCAACCTTTTGCAAAAAACCATAGTAGCAATTTCTCTTTCAAACGTTTTGCTTTTTGGATTTTTATCACAAACAGTCTTTAAAATTGACATAACTTTTTATTTTGGTCCCTCAATTTTAAAATTGATTAATGTCGTCCTTGAAATTGATTATCGTACATCATTTTGATCATTCCGTTAAGATTTTGTTAATTTATTCACGTGACACACATATGGGGTTAGCAAATCAATAAAATGGTGTCATGTTGAAATATAATTTAAAACTATAGTCAAAAGTGATTTAAACCAATAAGAAAACTTAAATAAATGGATTAAAACAAACTCAGCTTTAAAAAACTAAAATCTAAAGGTTGAACAGATGCACTCTTCACCTCCTCATGTCAATGATACTACCACATGCGTTCTTCACCTCCTCAGGTCAATGATACTAACACATCATTCAACCTAATCGATGAAATAGGATATCTAAGAGCATCTCCAAATGAAGTGTCAAATTTGAACATAAAATTTAAATTTGACATCCTAAATGACATTTTGACATCTTAGATGTGTTCTTCACCTTCTCATGTCAATGAGACAAAACAAAGTGTAAAATATAAATTGGGATTATGTAAAATACAAGTAGCATTGCTAATATCAAAACAAAAACATCCCCGAGAGGAAATAATTATACTAATAATTGTCATTTAAAAAAGACAAAACAGATAATTTATTCATTAGCAAGAAAAAAAATGTCAATATTATCATCATTACCATTATTGTCATAACTTTTTCGTGTGAGAAATGTTAAGGAGACTCTTAAAAGTAAGACTTTCTATGAACTTCCCGTCACGTTATGTTTTTGACATAATATTTTATAATGTTAGCACGGGAATAGACGTTAAACTGTGAAATAATAAAAAATCAACGAAAAATATCACTTTTAGAGAACCTCCTTAGCACTTCTGTTTTCCTATTGAAGAAGTTAGTAGACCAAAAAGATGCTAAATTGGTCATGAACTACTTGTCGTATCTTATATTATTTTTCTCTCCTTTGATTAATAATTAATACTCAACACTCATCTCCTTCACACCTTCCATTCCCCTCTGCTTTTCGACTGGGATTCCATGATAGCAAATTGCTAAACAAGTCGTGCGCCACGCTAACATTAAAAAATTGAGAGATCCTAATTAAGGTGTTATATTTTATGAATTTAGTCATCGCTTGTATCCTTGTGGAAATAGAAGCCAAACACAAAAATGTGAAACCCTTTTTACACTTTTTCTTATAATTAAGACTCAAAACATACGATAAGAATATGTTTAATCAAGTGATGAATCGTTCAATTAGTCCTCATCATACACTGTGATTCAATTGCCAATATATTTTAAGGATCTCTTACGACATTTTCAAAGCTTAATTAGATAGAAATTTGGCAGATTTTTTTAATTAAATAAATGCCTACGAATCTTACTTTTTCCCTCAGACTCTCTTGCATACAGACAAACTGCAAACTCATATTCAGTGTTTGATTAGGGTTTAGGGTTACGCTGTTGACTTATTTCTTAGAGCATCGATCTCCAACGATTTGTTAAATTTTTGTTAGTTTAGCGAGTGAACAGTATAGAAAAATTACTTTAGCTAGTCTTTTTAATTTTTTATCTCCAAAAGACTCTCTATTTTAACAAAATTTAAATATTTTATTATTAATCATTTCAAAAGAAAAAACTCAATCTACTTATTTTTTGGAACCATCTTCTTACTCTTTCTTTTCTCCTCGGCTCACGGTCCGTCTTGGAATTTTGTTATATTTTTAACAATTAACATTTAAACAGTGAATATAAACTTAAAGAACAATTTTTCACTTTGCTATTATATAGAGTCCTTTGGAGATGATTTTTATGAATTTGGCTCTTTAAACTAGCTTTTGGTTTTATAGAGTCTCTTGGAGATGCTTTAACAGTTTACACTCAGTTCAGTCATGAAATAAAGAGTGATGCTAGGGAGACTAGATTTTTAAATTAAAATAGTAAACTAAATGATTTGATGGTTGATGATTGTATTATTACTTAAGTATAGATTAACGTACTTATTTCCTATTGATTACACATAATTTGGTTTGAAAATTCGGTTTTAAAATTTGGTATCTCTAGCATTATTCTTAAATAAAACTGTGTCAAAGCTTTCATTCGTTATCAGCTGATTGGGGGTTACGTTAGGGTGATATACATTATTGACTTACTTGTTTAACTGTTTAAGCTCGTTTAGAGGATCAGTCATTGTTTAACATTACGTCTGAGTTCTCGTTCGAGATGAGACAAAACTCTTGTCACATATAATTCCAACTGCGCCATATGTCACTGGTCATCAGTAAAACACGCAACTTAATCGTGTTGCCGCACGCCATGGCAAGTTGTGAGTATATCTTATAGATGGAATTGGAAATTAAGCCTAGCAAGTTAGCTAGCTATTGCTCCAATTAATATAAGATATTTTAATCTTTATGCATTGTGATGACTTTCTTCGAGCTTACCTAGCTATTAAACAAAAGCTAAATCAGACTCCACTTTCTAGACGGTGATCAGCAACCGGTGGTTACATTATCAATCGTTTTCACTCACAAAGTGTTGAAATAATTGAGAATTAGGGTTTCGTTTTCAACAAATTGGTCCCCATACATACCAGTGAGAGAAAAATGAAGTGAGACTCCATGGATTCACTGTTACCTCATATTTTTTGCATAATGTTTTATAATGTTGGCATGAGAATTAACTTTAAGAGTACTGTTTGGCTACTCAAAGATGAGTATGAGCTCCTACCAAAAACTCTTTGTGCCTGATTTACAAAACTTTATGCTTATAATCGAAACTGTTCATATTATACATTACTCTGTAAAGATCATCTCTAGAAAAGAAAAAAAAAGAATTAAAATTAAGGAAAATTAAGGTCATTAAGTCGATCAACTATAGCAAATAGATAGACGGTTCATAATGCTTTTACCATTTATGTCCATTTGTTCTAATACAATTCAATGGCTAAACAACCTTAGTTTTAATTGATTGTTTGCATGATCTTTATAATATGAATGGTTCCAGTAATAAACACAAGGGTTTATGAATTAGAAATGAAGAGTTTTGAGTAAGAACTCCTATTCATCATTTGAGTAACCAAATATTATTTGAACTTTAAACTATGGATGATAGAGAGTTCATGAAAACTCTCATTTTTGAGAGTCTCTTGGTGAGATTATACTACTATTGCTAAATTGTCAAACTACAGCAGCGGATTCCTCACGCTACATATCTTGTACACGAATCATTGTTTACTATCAACTAGCTATAGTATATAGGAACATTATTGAGCGTTAAGCAGTACATGCATACGTGATTTGACCAAAAAAATTTCCGTAGCTTGGTATGTAACAAAGTAGTTGTTTGATAATAATGGTCCCATAAGTGTATTTGGCCTTACTTGGAATGGAGCAGTTTCTAATGGATCAACAAAGACGGTGCGAAATTAAACTCTTTTGTCCAATAAATTTGTCGTTTAACTAGTTAAATATTTATTTGTGCTCATGAATCAGAACTGTGTTCAATTTTCTTTCCGTAAATCACATGAAAACAAATTAATAACGGCACTTTTTTTTTTTTTTTTCAACTCAAGGGCATGGTTTTTTTTTTCCTTGAGTTAATAATAATTAAGATGAACCATGACTATAAACAAGAGAATCTGCATCTGTATTATAAAAAGTGATCAGCATTGTGTTTAAACACATGATTCTTTGCAGTTAGGAGTCAATTAAGAAAAATCTTCCTTGTCTGCCATAATTGAGCATGAAAATTGGGTAAAGATTTAGGAATATTTGCAC